CAGACCCATTCGCTTTGCTTTCCTAACCAACTTGGAAAAGGCAGAACAGACCTCGCGGTTTTTGATACCGATGATATCGGTGTCATCGGCAAAAGCCAGTAATTGCACGCTCTTGTAGTAAATTTCTCCTGAGCGTTTCAGTTCTGCAGCTTTTATTAGCTTCTCCAACATCAGATTAAAGAAGTCACATGAAAGGGAGTGGTCTCGGAGTGGTCTTTCCCAATTCTGACGGAGCTGGTGGTATTGCTCAACGTCATTTTACACAGCCGTATGAGTTTTGAGGGGATGCCAAATTCGGACATAGCGGCGTATAGGCAAATCGACAAATGGGTGGTGAGTGTCGATCCTTTTCTCGCGGGTCTTTTCCAAGCTGTGAACCTGGGTGATACAGTACATAAAATATGGACCGCAATAAGGGCTAATTAAGGTACTTTTCGAAAAGCGGCTTTGAAGTCGACGAACAGCTGAAGTGTATTGTTTTGCAGCGTTTGCAGTGCATGTGCCCTGGCAGCTACTTGCCGTCGGCCCTCGGTTAAAATTTTGGCTATAGTAGCGTATTAGCATTTTGCTTATTTCTTCCTACTATTTTATTTTCAGTTAAACCAATTTAGGTAAGTACATCTCCTTACAGTTCCCGTAATTTTTTTTTATTTAGTGGTTGTTAATTAACAGTTATCAAGCAATTCATATTTGTGGTACCATCTACTGCGTGGCTCGTGTGGTTCCCTATTCAAGTATTTTCGTAAAACTGTATGCATATATGCAAATGTACATACGTACGTACATACATACTTGCTTACCAGTACATGTATCCCAAAATATTCCTTGGCGTTTGTACCAAAATGATGACAGTACCAGTGACGTTTTTAGCCATTACCTTTTGTTACCAGTCATTTCGTACCTAGCTTTGTTTGCATTGAAGGCAATCCTTCCTACAAAATTGCCTCAATGGTCTGAGGAGCTTTTTGACTACATACCGACCGTATCGAAGACAGGCATCAAAAACGCCAACTGAGAGTGGCTCAGAGTCACAATACGCGTTGTGTTTTAGTAATAATGCGCCGTTCACAACAATTTATGTACATATGCATGTATGTATATTTTTTTTGTATATACAATGTATATTATACATACATTAGGGCGGAGTAATTAGTACCGGGCAAAATTTTGTTAATGAAAAATTAATTTAGTTCAAAAAAATTTATAATACACTGATTTTTGTTTTAAAAATTTTTTCTAAATTAAATTACTCCGCCCTAATTATTATTATTATTATTATTCGACTTCATGAGGCACGCCAATATTTATTCCTTTGTATCCATTCCGATGTCCCTATTTCTTTTTCTTTATCCTTAGTTTATTATGACTTTCTTTTACATACATATGTACATACAGCGGTCGAAAAAGTTATAGCCGCACCACATATTGACAAGTTTTAACATATCATTTTCCTAAAAAAACGTAATCGTGGTACAAAGCTCAATAACAATATTGAAATAAATATTAATGCGCCAAAATAATATTAGTTTTCGACCACTGTATGTACATATGTACAGTAGCGTTGCCAAATGTCCCGTATTTACCGGGACGTCCCGTATTTACCGTTACGCCGGGACAAGATTTTTCAACCTGTAATTTTCTACTCAACATGGTGATGCTTTAACGCGGTTATTGTGAGTAGGACATTAGCAAGCATTATTGCATGCAACTCTGTGAGAGGAATATAGCTAAAAATTACTATTAATTTTCAAGATTTTTTTTTTTGTGGAGGTGTAGCGAATTTTCCTCCATATTACGCATGAACAAAACTGGCTTTTATATGGAAGAAAATGCACAACACCCTCCACAAAAAATAAAAAAAAACTAAAAAATCAATGGAAATTTTTGGCGACTTGAAACTTCCACTTATTATACTAGAATTGAATGGACTAGAAAGCCACATACTCGAAACATTTCTAGGAAATAGCAAAATTTTGATGGACATATTTTTTTTTTATTTAATTAGTTTTTATGAACTTCGTGCAAGCTTTGAAACTTTTATTTATGTGGTATCTGATACAGGTCGACCCATATTTTAAATGAAACTTTTTAACAATAAATAAATAAAAAGAAGTTGCCAACAGCATCATTTTGAATTTTGTTGCTATTGTTTTGACCGCAACTGTATCTCTTACTTTGTTTTTATCGTTTAGCCGATAAAAGTTATTTGCGACAATAAAAGTTATTTGCGACAAATAAAATATAAGTATCTCTAAACATTTTAGCAATCTTGTTTACACAAGCATGTTAATATATGTACTATTTCCAATATACAATATGAACATCCATATATGTATAGTACTTTATGTGCCTACAAGTTAATTTAAATTTAACTGAACTACAAAGTTGTACTGAAGACTAGCGTGCTGAAAAGGGCTCGCCAATAAACCCACTGAAGTCCACCGTTGCCTCATTTACCAAATAAAGGAAGTCAACTTGACTAGACCAACCTTGGCAGGGACAGAAATTGAGTTATCAGAATAGGCGTAGTATCTAGGGGTAAATCTGGACAAGGGCTCAAATTGAACTCACATCTCTCGAATGTAACGAACAAGGCTACAAGGGCATTTTATGGCTGTCGGAGACTTTATGGTAAGACCTGGGGAATATCAGCCAAACTAACGTTAGTAAAACCGGTTGTTACATATGTGGCGCTGGCCTGGTGGCCAAAAGCGGGTAATGCGGGTGTCATGTTGAGCAAGCCGCACCAACTGGTGTGCATGGTCATCACATAAGCTATGCACACCTGTCCAATAGATGCCCTGAAAAAGAGGTCTGCTGAAGTGCCCTACGGCATGAAAACCGCAGTTGTTCGCGGTTGCGGCTCTCAGGCCATTTCTGGATGATCCCGCTATCAAGCCCAGGGACATAATGCAGCCGAGGTTATCTTTCTACAAACCCTAAAAGGTCAGAATTCCTGTAATGGGACTGGTGGGAAGCGATAATACTATGATTGATCAAAAGTCCCAAGTATCGTATACCGACGGATCGAAGAAGAACGGCGGGAGTACTGGAGCTGGGGTACCTGCACCAAGATTCCAGAATAGTCTGCCAATGGGTACATCTAAAGCATACACTGCATAACTACTTAGGTGCTGTGAAGAATCTCATATTACTGTCCACTAGGGAAAACTAAAGGGAATGAGACAATCAAAGAGATACATAACTACTTACAAGAGAAACTCCTTAACTTAGCCGGGAGGCACTTAGAAGTCTTACTGCTTGCTTCAGAGGACACTGCAAGCTAAGTTACCACTTGAATTAAATGGTGCTTTCTGTAGAGAGAGACTGCAGGTTTTGTGTGCAGGTGGAGGAAACACCAGAGCATATTCTATATGACTGCCCATGTATCATCAATAGTAGACTTATAGTACACGTTGGGGAACGGTTATCTGCTCCATTCAGAATTTTTAACATAGCACCTTTCAAAGTGCTTAACTTCTTAAATATCCTAAGATTGGAGTGATTACAATAAGACACATTAGATCTTCTTAGGTCTAACACATTTTTTGTTGGTTTTGATAGGAAGAAAAATTTGTGCGTGGCAACACTGATCTCTACTTCGTGCTTTTGAGAAATTAACGCCAAAGCATTTCCTTTTTACTTTTCACCCGCATTGTGAGCGTGTTCTACTGTTGGGTATTTTACTGTTATTGCGTTTTACTTTTCTGCACGCACATCCTTTTCGGCTGGCAGCGCAGTTAACGTCAAAGTTTAATTGGCGCTGCGCTGTTAATACTACAGCCGATACCGGCACGAAAGGAGCACGACTGGTTTTAGATTTCTCTGCCTTGTCTTCAGCGACTCTTTTTCGTAAAAATTTTAAGTAATATAGCAATGTACCTAGGTACATATGTACACACACACATATACATATGTATTGTACATACTACATATTCCCACATATATCCACATACATAAATACATAGCATATTATCTGTGCACACATACATACACGCACACATATTTTGGTTTTGCTCATATTTTTACGACGTTTCNTCACATACATAAATACATAGCATATTATCTGTGCACACATATGTACATACACGCACACATATTTTGGTTTTGCTCATATTTTTACGACGTTTCAAGGTCTGATTTGCTAACCTGGCGTCCGAAATATTATAGGTATGTATTCACCAAATTGTGAATACCCGTATTATGTCATGATTTACTAGTTGTCCAAATGTCTGTATTTCTTTTGACTTTACTTTAAAAATAAGTATGTATGTAATATTTTTGGCATTTTTCAAGCCGAAAGCCACGCCTAAGACTAAACATTTTTCATATGTATGTAAGTACATATGTATGTATGTAAGAAACGTAATTTCTTTTGCATACACAAACACTCGAATATCAATCAATCGCTTTTATCACCGCCATCCACCCACGCAATACAGCTTTTCCCTCCGTCCACCCGCCCTTTTCATTTCTACATACACGAGAGCCCTATCACCGGCTTTCAGCTGCGACGTTGCGACGTTGCTATTCATTTTTGCTTTATTTCCGCTCTACTAGTAAAGTCGTACATACATTTCTATATACAGTACATATGTATGGATGTGTAAATTCTTTTCTATTGCCTTTCTTTGCTTTATTTTCTACTTTTGCATTTCATATTTGCAACTTTTCCTATTAAATATCTATGTAGATATGTTCCTTAGTACTTGACTGCATATTTTGTTTGTCCCTTCTGTTGTAATTTTTGTTTGTCAATTTTGTTGTCATTTTTGTTTGCCACTTTTGTTGTTTTTTTTTGTTTTTGCAGTTGTACATAGCGCTTATATGTATGTATATGTACAATAAATTGAACAGTGAACCGAACTGCGTTGCTGCAACTTGTGCAGCGGCAGCAAATTTAGCTGCGCGTCGACAAGTACATATATACATACATATCGTGTTCGTAAGTTACTTTCTGTTTCTCTTTTCGCACTTTGTGCACATATGTATGTACATACATTTTGCTTACCACAAAGTTATGCCATCGACATTTTAGTTTATTTACACAAATTTGGACAATTTATTTTTTTTTTGGTTATACAAAAACAAATCACTAATTTGTTTTTGGCAAACTCACTTCAAAACAGCGACAGTGGAAAATAATTGTTCGTCATTGAAGCTATTCTCTGTCCCTGGTTGTGGCTTTGTCGGAGCCGCCGCTTAACGTGTTTTTTCCTTATTTTTCAAACTTCACGCGGTATTTATTTATGTATTTTTGTATCTCCATTAAAATCACGCACGAAACTATTATCTTTACAACTTATTATTAAGTAGATTTTGTTTACAAAAACATCAACTCTACTGGAATAACAACTTGGACAAAAACACTTCACCGGCCGGATGGCTTTGCCACCGCGCACACACACGTTATGTATGCTTATACCGAGTTGCCGCGCGTACACTCCGCTAAATCGTCGTTGCAACCAAACACGTTCTGAGCGATTGTAGAACTGAATGTGGAAAAAAGCTGAAGAAAGCATAAAACTTTACAGAAAGATTGAAAGCGCTCGCCGCTTCGTGCGCTCTGAATCTGTGGCGAACACGAACCTTTACTCTCTGCTCTTGCCGCTGGCGCTGCTGCAACAATTGGGTGGTGGAGCAGGGAAACACCATACACAAGGTTATGCTTCAAATATTTAGATACATATATAGCTATTCCATACTTGTGTTCGGGTGTAGTATTTATTTACGGATATATGTATGTATATACATACATTCCCAGCTAACACAAGATATAATATTTTCCAACGTGTGATAAACCATTGACAGTGAAGTGCAATTAGGGCCGCGGAAATAACGCCCATGGGCATTATTGCCTTTTCGAAAAGGAAATTAAGCCCGCGGGCTTTATTGCCTTTTGCCGGTGGGCATTATTTCCCTTTCGATATGGCAGTAACGCCCGCAGGCATTATTTCATATGTTCTAAATAAAAACTAACTAATATGATAACTTGAACTAAATATTTGTTTTCCTTTATTATACGAACAAATTGAAATTAACAAATTTCAATGCATATAATTATGTATATATGTACATTAGACTGCATCACCAAAAAAAGTTGCGGTTTTTCTGCAGGGATTAAAAAATTTATTATATTTTAAGACGTCCACCAAAATATTTCGGAAAAATATTAAGATTTAAGCGAGCTGGACCGAGTTAAAAATTCTTTCAAAAATGGAGTTTTTTATGAAAAAAATAGTTTCATAAAAACCTTTTTGAGAAAAGTCCCCTCAGATGACAAAACAGATTAGGCTTAAAAAATCTGCATAAAAATATTTAAAAATCTTTTCAACGGAATCGTAATAATGAGATTTTTGATACTGTTTTTTTTTACTTTTTTCGAAGATTGATTTACAAAAAACTAAAATAACTGGGCCAAAACTCTTCTGATTTAGACTTATGGGCTCTCGGTAGAAAGGTATTTTCCCACTATTTTTATTTATGTGCAAAAAAAGTCATTCGTGTCCCAATTTTTTTTTTTCAAATACCAACACATCTTAATTCAACTTTGAATGGTGTTCGTTCATCCTACCTTTCGCTTTCATCCTTTAAATGAAGTTATTAGAAAAGAAATAAAAAGGGTGAGAAAATACCTTTCCAATGATATATCACAAGTCTTATTTGGAAGAGTTTAGGTTCAGTTATGCAAGTTTTTCTTATATCAAACTTAAACAGCATCAAAAATCTTATTATTACGATTCCATCCAAAATTTTTTTTATTTTTTTTTTATATTTCTATATAAATTTTTTAAGGTTTTTTGAGAGGATTTTTTCAAAAAACATCTTTAAGAAACTATTTTTATTCATAAAAAACTTTTTTGGAGGTATTTTCAAATCGGTCCAGCTCGCTTAAATCTTAATATTTTTCCGAAATATTTTGGTGGACGTCTTAAAATATAACAGATTTTATAATTCCAACGGAAAAACAGTACCGATTTGTTTGTATGGGGAGTGATGCAGTCTAATGTACATGTGTATGAAAATTACATAATTAAAATTTTCAACAAAAAACGGAACATGAAAAAGTAAAAAGTTAAATACATACTTTTGTCGATTGTCAAATAATTTGACGGCAAATTGGACACAAAATGCTTATATTACCATTTAGATTAGGACGCCTAATGTGCTCCGCGAAGCAAGCCTGTGGGCGCTAACCGCGGTGCGCACCACCACTGAAAAACCTAAAAGTATGTTCACATATCAATTGTTTCTCAATCAAAGCTCGTTTTTTAATCACCCCGTTTACATAGGCAAATCTCAGATTACTTGCTGTCAAATTTGTTGTTGTTATTCTCACATCTCAAGCAAAAGTTAAGTTTCTTCTCTGTGCCACCGTGATTACGGTTTTCTGCTATAATAAGCAATATACATATATTTTAACTTAACATTTTATTAAAAATACCTTTACAAACCTCTTTTCCTTGCTAGCGTCCTAGTTTGTTTACTTTTACATTTGACATTTCCCATCTTTTTCGCAAAAACAATCGATAAAACTAGGATGGACACCGAAAAGTTAACGGTTAAATCTGAGATGATTTAATAATTACAGATTAACAAGGGACGAATTTTATATGGCTAATCTCTTGTTATAATTACAGATTAGGTGTTAAGCTCGAAAATGAGGATAATCTAGTTATATGTGAACCTAGTATAAGACGCTGAGAAGATATATGCGCATCGCATAAAAGGCTAAAAGAACAGTAACAATTTACCTTTAGTTTCCAATAATTCCGTTATTAGCTATTGGCAAAAATACCGTTGGATTTTATGTGTATACAGCAAAAGGGAATTTAACGAAGAACTACACTATATGCAAAACTAGAGAGCAATTTGTTTAAAATACGTTCCATTTTATGCAATTGTATGCCTTTATAAATAACTGGAATGATTCAGTAAAATAAAGCCAGAGAAAATACTCTCACGGGCTTTATTTTCTTTTTTATGAAATAAATCAAGCGGGCGTTAATTCCTTTTCTTTGGGAAATAAAGCCCGCGGCCATTATTGCTCTTTCGTAAAGGAAGTAAAGCCCGAGGGATTTATTGCCTTTTATTGGCAGGCGCTATTTCCACTTCAAAATGGAAATAACACCCATGGGCTTTATTTCTCTTTATAATGGGAAATGAAGCCCATGGGCGTTATTTCCGTGGACCACCCACTTTTATTAGATAAATTGCATTGTGCAGCTTTTCGTGCTTTTTTTTTATAAATGGTTTAAGTCTGGCTTAACAGGAAGAGTACAGAAAGTAAAAGTCTGTGGAGGTTTAAGTAGCCCACTTGAAAACAACATAGGATTTTCGCAGGGGTCTACTTGAGGCCCAATACTGGGTCTTTCAGGCGGTTTATACATACTTTCTTCCTGTTTAAAACATTACTTGCAATCCGCTGTTCATCTTAGAAAGATCTGTTTAGACGTACCCTCAAGCCTGTCTTCAATGTACGCTGTTAAGGCAGTGTCACACGATTGGACATTCGTCCAACATTTGGTGCAAGTTGTATCCCAATTGTGTGAATACACAAATATTTTTCTTTATTACAATCACAAAAAACAATTTGTTCAAATTTTTCGATAGAAGTTTGCAGTAATGTACCGAAAATCTCGTCCCAATTTTTTTTTTTTTTTTTGTATCAATAGCCCATTTTAAAAAATTTACAAATCTCAGAATTTTGCCGGTATTACTACAAAGCTTTTAAGATATTTTTTTTCGCTGCGGCTATCTATATAGCTTAATTTTATATAAATAAATATAACTTAAGGAAAAACTCGCATGGTCTTATAGTCGTACCAAATTCTCGTACTACTCATATGAATAACTTTTATACTCTTACATAAATGCAATCGCTGAATCCGAATTGCTACGAAAGTATATGCTACGTTCGTACTTATTTGGATTCAGCGATAGCATTTTCGTAGATTTCACGAAAAATCGGAATCGTTGGGGATTCGAGAAAGCTATTTAATATCAAATACGTCTCAAGTTGATATGATACCAAAAATGTTGGCTGGGTTTGTACATACATACACATATACAAATGCATGGTCGAATCGGCAAAAAGCCGCTTCACAAAATATTAATCTGTGCACATACATATGTACTTACATGTATCTATATCGCACAGTGGCTTGGAAGTAATAAAAAATACGACCTATAATTATATAACTACATATGTAGATGTTGTTGTTGTGGCAGCATACAAATTCCGCAGAGTTTTTGGGTAATGATGCTAGAGTGACGGCCCTGGGTCAGACAAAAATCTGGGGCGTTCCGGTTACGTAAGCCCGACCGTTGTGAGAACGATAACTACAAAGATAAATAGATGCGCCAGGGAGTCGATTGTGCCCTCAACCATTCACAGTACTTCATCCAACCAGATTCCAGAAATTTAAAAATAGCTGCAGGGTTTAGCAATTGTATAAATTCAGCACTTAGCCAGGGTTCGACTAGGTAACACTCCCATCTTCTTGCAACCGCCTTGCACTTTTATTATCCTTAACCTCCCTTTGAGGAGGTTTATTATAGCCCTGTTACCTTGTAAGGTTGTAGCCTCCCAGTAAGCATTTAGCTTGGCGTAGGGCTAAGTTGTTACGCGAGTATTGTTCTCTGAGGTTGTTTCTTTTCTTCCTGAGGTGTCCTTGTTTGTAGTAGGTCCGATGGCGAGGAAGATCTAGAAGTTCAGCTTCCTCGGTACCCTTAACCCCTATGTGTCCTGGTATCCAAATTAGCTGGATAATATTGTTCTCAGCCAGGGCGTTAAGCTTATCAATGCAGCCAAGACGAAGGAGGATTTGACCTCAAATAATGAAAGTATGGAGAGTTTAGCCTGACTCTTACTCAATATTAGGATTTTCTCACTATGGTAATTTCTAGCTACATACATAGGTTAAACTCTGCACACAGACTCCGCCTAGCTTAGATTGAAGTGGCTACCTTCATCCAACGTGGAATAGAGGCACACTTACACCCAGTGGGTCCGTTATGATACCAATTGAGAGCTCGAATTCGAACCCGTGGAACCAGTTGGTTAGATTCAGAAAGCGCGAGAATTCGTGAATGCCTTGCTTCACTTAGATGGGCGAGACAGACAAACAGATGGTGGCGAAATGAGATTTTTCTCGCCCACATGAGGGCGGGTAAGTGACAGAAGTATGTCTCCAAATTCTCGATATCGTCCACTTCGCGGCAACTACGGCTGGAGTCATTAGCCGGCTGGGTTTGCCGGGTTCTGCTAGCATGCCTTCCCCTTAAGCAGTGGCTCGTAATGGTACCGGTAACCAGCCTTAGTAGAGGGCGTTCTAACGGCATGAGTGCGTTAGACCTTTTCTTATCGAGGCTGGACCAAATTTGTGGAGTCGTTCCACACGTGGGTTCTTCCGAGCATCTTTTGTTTGCCTTCTCAACGAAGTATATCCTGAGCTATGTCTTACAGGTATATAGGGTTATGCCCGCTGCATGAGAGGA